ACCTGTTTCTAGAGTCCTGAGAGAGAGGAGATAATAACCTGGGAGAAGCCCCCTTGCTACTACAAGCTGTAACAGCTCTCTCTGCCTAAGATTGATGAGGACTGCTTGCCCCATGGCTTTCAGCCAGCAGAACCACAGCTCACATGAGCTTCCTGCTCCCTGCATCCAACAACATCAGGTCCCTGAGATGCATCAGGGAGGCTGTAGGCAACCGCACTCAGAAAGCAGAAGGATATTTCTCAAGCTCCTTCGTTTCAAAAAGATTGTTTCGTATTCTTTCTTTACTTGTTAATGCGTTTATTTATCTTGTATTCCATTAAGAACTTTATACCTATCCTAAGTTACACCTCCTTGGCAAATGTAAACACTGAAAACAAGGAATACAAACATGGCAACATAACTGCAAGTCCATACTGCACTGTGCAGTTCTGAAAAATTGATCCAGTCTATAATATTGTGTACATCCATCAATCAGCTCTCAAGGAAGGGCTTCATTTCCAGTTCTATTTTGGAGGTTAAACAGAAGGAGAAGGAAATATTTTCTTTTGAAAGAACACGTATCATTCTTTCTAACTGCCTATTTCTAGGAAGCAACGGCTTTGTCCTCATCGCTCTCCCCTCCTCAAAAAGCTATTAAGCCCGAGTGAAAGAAAAGGAAGCAAAGGTAAAGCTCTTAGTGAGAGGGAATGAGTGTTCAAAATCTCATCTCCCCTTTTCTCAGCACACAGCCATCCAATGATTACAACTGAGTTAAAGCAATAGCTATTGGACAACACTGAACTAGATGATTAAAACTGAGCGAAGAGTTCAAGTAATTATTAGCCCGATTCAAACACCAGGGAATGGAGCACTGCATTCCCTACATCATTTTGACTACAAAGGAATAAAGAAATGTTAGCAGCTTCTTCAGGCACCCCACAACCACAAAGCCAGTTTCTTTTGTTCAGTAATCTCATAGCCTTCACAAATGGTTCACATACACACACATACCACCCTGTGGTGGTCCAGGGTTGAAATGAGCAACATTAGCACACACCTGATCAAATCTACACTTAACTTCTCATGCAGCACACATCAATACTGCAGACAATCCAGTTGTGTAAAAAGGTAGAGAGAGAACATGAAGCCTGAGGAAAGCCCTCCCCATCACAGCTTTCCTGATGCTGCTGCCAGTGCCAACAAGAGATGCTGTCCTGTTCACGACATGGAAGGAACTTGGAGGACCTTGATTAATGCATATTACTGAGGCAGATGAATTCAAATCTACTCAGCAACTTTTGCAACCAGGATGAGCCTGATGAATAGTTGTGAGGCACAGAAATTCCTATCTGAACTTCTGCATACTATAAAAAATATCTTAGCTGTAAAATCTAAAAGGCATTTACTTCTGACCATAGATGAGCTTCTCTCCTAAATGACTACAAGTGAGAGGCCAGGCTGGGATCTTCCAGCTGCCCCCAGGCAAAAGAAGAGAACTACAACAGTGCTACTTTTCTTATCAGTACCCCAGCCCAGGGGTCTGAGTACCACTATGGCAATAGTTGCTATATTATCCTGTGATGGCAATGATATTATGATGCATTTAATGAGTACATTTCATATCAATATCCTAGGGTACAGAATTATACATGTACTGAGAATGAAAATAATAATAGTTAAAAAAAAAAAAGTTTCAAGACTCTTTTTCCTATCCCCTGTCCCAAAAGATGCTTTCTATGAAGTGAAAGACCATGGAGTTTATGGTCACAGATATTTTGTTTTAATGCATAATTATTTCTCATTATTTGTTGTTTTGACAGGCATCGCACCAGAAAAGAATCAGAGAAAAAAACAGCAAGCAACTCTGGGAAAAAAAATCCACCTCTCCCTCTGGCATCACTGAAAGTATCAGCTTCATGTCTGAAAACCTCAAGAAAAAAGTGACTGATAAACAGATGAGCTGTCCCAAATATCAAAAGGATGACAGAAAGCCACTCAGCTAGGGAACAGACTGTCTTACATCTGTGTTGAGTAATCAAACACTTTAAAAATCAACAAAGACAAAACTGAAGAGAAAAAGAACATATCCTAAGAGGTCTGTAGAGGGGATTTGTTGCATACTGCAACTCCTGTTGTGGTAGAATAGAACAGAGCTCACAAAAATCATCAGGTAGCAAGGGACTTGCTGGAGAGCCAAAACTACCAAAAAAAAAAAAAAAAAAAATTTGGTTAATGAAAAATAAGTTACAAATTTCTACCATTCATTAATTTGAAATGGATCAGAAAATAAACTGCAAACAACTTGCCATACAAACACATACACAGTTTAAAATGTTATTCACACTTCTACATGAAGCAACAGGTTTCCTGGAAGGACATTCGAAGTGTATCATTAATACTGATCGTAAGCATTCAGATTCTGGCCAATTTCGTAGTATTCTAAACGCTCTTTACACAAGCAAAATATGAATTTATTTCAGAATACGAATAACTGCCGTGCGGCTCTTACTTAAAAGAAAATTACAAACAAAAAGCATTCCATCTGTATGTGACCAGGACAGCAAGATGTAGAAGCTCTAGGTTTTTTGAATCTTGCCATACACATAATTGCTGTATGAGCAACTGTGAAAGTTAAGAAACAGATAGAGCTATTTCCACAGGAGCACCAAAGGATGGTAAGGTGTGCAGAAGGAAATGATGGGTTTTTCAGGCTTTACAATTATGATTCTGAACTGCAAAGAGAAGAATAAATTTACTGTCACTTATACAAGCCATGCAGACAACAACAGAATCAGGTACAGAAAGGTATCAGCACAGACAGCGAACAGCTCTACAGTGGCAGCTCCCATGCTTTCACAGTACTACAAAGGTAAAGTCCACATAGTCATGTATGACAACTGAGGGGGCTGGTTTGTGTTTAATATCACTGATTTATTTGTTGAAAGAAGTATCTGCCATTCCAATTTCAAGTGCTGAAGTAGTAAATGTATTTCAAATAAAAATTCCTCATTCCGTATCTACTAAATTATGCAACATCAAGAAATGTAAATCACTTTCTCATTACTGTAATAAAATATCTTATGGCTAAGGGAAGCAAACAGATCTTTACATGAGAAAGATATACAGATAGTTTTTTCAACCTTGACCTTTGTTGAAAAAATCCCACATGATTTTATGTTCAGCTAACTGGGAGAAAGCATGTGAGGCAGAGTATTAGCTTGGATTTAGTAGGTTTAGGGACAGGACTGTCAATTGAGCAGAACTTCAATTACAGACTAATTTAATGTATACCCAAGTACATTACTGCAATTCAATAAACATCTCTTCAGAATTAAACAATTCCAATTTGCTTTCATTTCAGCCTGTATATATGCGTTACGAATTTGCTATTATCCACACTAAAATTAGCCAGACTAGAAGTATTCATCCATGCAATCCCAGTGTTTCACAGTGCTGCATCAAGCTAACCTCAAATGAACCACTTCACTTTGCCTGCATACTATACAGAAGCACGGAGTAGAGGAGTGTGCCTTCCCATAACAATAGTACTCTCCTCAAGCTCTTCTGGCTAGGTGCCTGCCTGGGTAATTCAGCAGTGAGTCTATCAGTGTCCCTCATGTTGGATGTCCAGCCATTCATATTTACAGCTCACTCTTCTATTTTTCTCCTCCTCATGTTGTTAAACATGAAAGTGTCAGGCACATGCCCAACTTTGCATATTCTGATATTGGTTGCTCTGGAAGACTGCCTTCCCTCTACTTAACAATCATATGGCACTAATATGCCACTCTTGGCAACTCAATTTTATTTTACTCATGAATTAACTCCTCCAACAAGTAAGATAGTAGATAATTTGGCAGGAATTAAAAGCACTTAGCACCTAATCTGAACATTCTCTTCATAATCAGTGTAGTCTGAATATCTACAACATTGGATATTTAAGGCACTGCAAAGGTACTAGCATTAAGTGATAGAAAAAGTTGGTAAAAAAGTACTACAGTAGAAGAAGGTGATCTCATTTCTCCAACAGTCCTCCATTTCCATAAAAAAATGAAAACATTTCGAGCAATAAAATTACATTCCGTGAGAAGATCCATACTACAAATTCCTTCTACCCACATCACTACCACCTTCAATAGAGACTGAAACAGCCTCAAGGGAGACAGTCACCCTTTCTTCTCCTACGACGCAGTGAGCATCCCTGTGGTGCAGTTTGGGTAACATTAATAAAGCAGCATAGTAAATAGCACTTCACTCCGTGCATCATGGATGATCTTAAGCAAATACCACCTTGCATGTGTCAGACACAGCATCACCTCCTGAATCACAGTGAATAAGAGAGCTGAAACCTCCAGCTTCCATCAAGAGCTACTGATATCCCTACTGTGTGCTTCAGGACATCAGCAGAATCACAGAATCACAGAATGGCCCAGGTTGGAAGGGACCTCAAGGATCATGAAGCTCCAACCCCCTGCCACCTGCAGGGCCACCAACCCCCATCATTTAATACCAGCCCAGGCTGCCCAGGGCCCCATCCAACCTGGCCTTGAACACCTGCAGGGATGGACGGGGCATCCACAGCCTCTCTGGGCAGCTCTTCCAGCACCTCACCACTCTAATAGTAAAGAATTTAATCATTCCAGATCATCTACACCCAACAGCCCTGAGCAGACTCTTCTGACATGCAACACTATTACAGAATTATTTATGTCCAATGAAATGTAAAGTAAACCAGATGAAGCTGACTGACAGCTAAACTGTTGTGCTGACTGCATTAAAAATATCCATAGCTACCACGCATTACTTCAAGAGCTCATGAAAAGGGCTGTATTCAGATGAAGTTTTGATTCAAATAATTGTTTTAAAAAATGATTGAAATTCATGTCACTTACACCCATTTCTCCTACTTGAATTTAATATGATTGAAAGAGAAAAGCCCAACAGGGGGTCAAATTTTATACACAGTTGACATAGGAGGAAACGTTCATCTAAAACAAACTTGCTGTTTTAATACAACTTACCTTTCACTATTAATTCTGCATAATTGGAAACTCCAGATCCACCATCTGAACGAATGACACAGCGGTATTTGCTGATGCTGCGCTGCGAGGTGTCAGCAACGCTGACCGTAGCAGAGAAACGCCTGTGGTTGACGACTCGAGTGACCATTAATGCTGTGTCCCTCCCATTCCACTGCTGTGAAGACAGATGAAAACGACACAGGTCACGAAGGCATACAAATTATTCATTCTTTGTTATTCTTCAAATTGCTCAGCCCTTCACTAGGTTGCCTTTCGTATAAGCACCATTTTTCAGGAAAAAGACAGCTAGTAATGTCCCTGAAAAATTTACAGGCACACTGGGTTTTATAAACTAGTGGGTTTAAATGTTCTTATATATTTGTTTAAGTTTTTGTATCTACTTAAATTCTGATATGTTTTTGTGCATTTGATGTGTTATGCATACTGAAAAGGCTGGAGAGTGACAGTTCAGAATATCTGTACAGGGTATATCCAGAAGCTAAGCTAAGACATGAAAATACTACAAATGAATGCATTTTGTACTCCTGTGGAAATGCTATAAATGAACAGATTTTATAAGCCTGTCATTTTCAGGCATAAAACTTTGTTTCCAGAAAAATTTAAATATCTTGATCTGTCCAGCACTCCTCAATAAACCTCTCTCCACCAATGCCAGGCAACATTTTCCCAACTGGAAAACTGACAGGTGATGAATTAACTAGAAATCAGCATAAACACCTGAACTTGCTCAGTTGGTCTATTTTATTAGGAGGCTCAAAGGAAAACACAGAGCCATTCTGCCAGTTTCCAGTAATCAATTTTGGGAGGTATTTCCAAGGCTATTTTCATTAAATCTTTCCGTTTAAAAGAATGGAAAACAGGCTGCCACTAAGAATGATGATTTCCTCCAAAATCCTTTCTTCTCTTGGAAAAAAGTTTACAGTGCTTCAGATCAGAAGTGTTTTCTCACACATCTAATCCTTCCATGGAAATCCTTCACAGAAAGAACTCAAAAATGATATAGAATAAGCCAAAATATATTTCTATCAATGCTAGAAGTACAACATAGGCCAATAACTTTCAGATTAGAAAGTAAATTTTTGGATAACAGCTTTGATAAAATAAAAGTAATAACTTTGTCCTTCACTGGGAAACCGCACTCCACCCTTGCAGTTTGCTAATTGCTCCATTCCTAATTCCAGAACTGAAAATCAGTTAAGCTTGTTATGTATGAATAGCAAAAAACAGTCTTTGAACAACCAGTAGGATGAAAATAGACACGAAGAGAATGAACTCCTTAGTCATTTAGTGAGGAACAATCTGCTATCAATGCAGCCAAAGGAAACCGGGAGGAAGAAATAAATCGGTACAAACAAGTTTTGTCTTCTGTTTAACATATCTTACGTAGTGTTTTCATCTCAACACACTTTCCCCAGCCTTTGTCAACAATATTTCTGGGGGGCAAAAGGAAAGAAGACCAAAAATTAAGCAGAAGGGAGGCATTATTTCACCTGTTCTGTCTATTTTATGAACGAGTCCTTACAGGTGTGCAGACCTACGTTTGGAACTGACATTTTGCTGTAACTGCCCACTTTTTCCATCTTCTGTAGCACAATTCTGCATTTTATCATCTTGAACTCTGATCTGGAAACAATATAAGGCAGTTCTCAAAGGATTTTGATGATAAGCATTTGCCCCACCACCCAGTTGTCCTCTGTCTACTTATTTTACCCGAAAAAAATTGCATCACTTTACCTGGAGCCAGAGTTTGTCATGCTGGGACCACTTTCCCCCAGCAATGCACTGGAATGTTGCGTTCTGTCCCACATTAACCTCCACATTCTGAAGCCGTAAGAAATGAGGTGCTTTTCCTAACAAGAGAAGCAAAGAATAGGAGGGGTAGAGCAAGGCAGCAATTACACCAACACAGATATCAGCACCTAGCATCCTATTCCTCACAAAGTGATTTAGCAAAATAAAACTGTCCTTCAGCATTGAACCATTCGCTGCAGAGCAAGGTGATCTTATAGAGAACAGGCCAAACCAATACAAACCTCCAGCACACCTGAAAACATACACTTACTATTAGATCACAACACCAAAACAATTTGTTATTTCCTTCTATAAAGAGTAACTGAGTACACTTTTTTTCTTTAGAAAACTCTGGTTCTACAAAGGGCAAAATAAAATCGAATGTTTGAGGTTGCCAAGCACAACTGGCAAAAACAAATTCTTGTAAAGAATTTTCTCCTTTTAATTTCATTGACTATCAAATACTTCCTGCAATTGTGGAATATCAATGCCACTGATATCAAATCATTGATATTAAATGAAATATTGATATTACTGATAAGTGTTGTATCGCTGCGCTGGTTAACAACACCAACATCTGTTTTTTGCTGACAATAAATTCAGTATTAGTTCAATACTAACTGAATCATCAAAACACTAATATCACCAATATATTTGGTGACAACAGAGAAAGATCTCCTGATTATCTTTTTGACTAAGTATCATTTGTTTACCTCCGCAAAAAAATTATAAGAAAGTAATTTTAAAAATAGTAGTGAATCTGGTATTTCAAAATGAGCCTTGTGCTTTAGAAAAAAGTTTGTGCGCGAACCAAATACTCTTAGTAGGACACACAGCAGCCTTGCAATGCAGTAAAGGTCAGCATTTTTCAACTTCATCTTTACATTTTTGAGTATAAATAGCCAAAGAACTACATATTTTCAGAGCGCATAGTAGCCTACATTTTTCTATTGGAATTAAATAGCTTCAGAAGGCTGTAGGCATGTGCGTGCGGAAAGCTTAGCAAATACATGGTTGTCTACTACAGGCATACGAACAGAGGACAGCTGCCTATATGCTATGTCAGAGGTTTATATCTACGTCCTGTGCCACATTGTCCACATGCCCAGTTTGCTGACAACTCTAGCAAACAGACTGCTGAAGTGCAGTGATTCTGTACTATGGTGCTTTCTGGGGGGTCAGTACTGTGTGTCAAAGCCAACTGGAAAACCACCTTTGGGTGAGAGGCAGAGAGTCCTACGTGCTAGGAGTGAATTCTGCCTGCATGCAGATATGAACGAGCTCCAAAACAGAACCCAGGTACATGCAGCCACACCAGCCCCAAACCCCAGAGCTCAGCTCTGCCCATCTTCCAGGGCACTGCACTGTCCTACAGCTGCAAGTGCTTGTGCATACACAGCCAGCGAGCCTTTTGCACAGCGAAAACTGATTCTCTGTGCATTCCTTCACAGGATTAAAAAAGGCAATACTATCTAGACCTCTGTGTTTTCACATCACTGTGTCATCAGGGGTTTTTCCCAGATTAATAAAAAAACAAAACAAAAAACAGCTGCTAGTTAAGATTGTCTGCTATACTACGATTTGTGTAGATGAGGGAGAAATTAAAAAATAACACCAATAATTTTGAGTGACGCTCAGGCTCAATCAGAAGCTTCCTCTTCCTGTGCTTTGAGTTTTAACAATTGTAAAATGAACCCAAGGGGCAAAGTAAATCTGTACAGTGTCACTGCTGACATCTACTCTGGTGGCTGTCAGTGCTGAACAGCAAAGACAACATTGAGAATCAGACAGAAGTATTTACAATAAGACTACAGACAACTTGCAGCTCGTAGGGACCTATGCACACTGCAGGTTGCCAACTGATTCTAAATGCACTGGGTATAGTTTGAGTCATTTCAGCTTTGGGTCACCAAGATCTCACTGAATTTTTAAGAGGGACCTGCATGTACTTGGAGACACAGATCTAAACATCAGTTTTAATACTTCACTAAGTAGGGCTTGGGGTTGGTATACATTTTTTAATCCTATAACCTTCTTGTCTTTGCCTCACAGTTGGCTTTGTGGCCTCTTTCCCAGTAAAGGGATCAGTCATCACCAAACATGCTGTGGAATGCATGCACATCGTTTGGGGGATTTGTTTGGAGGCTGCCAGTTATCAGCAACATCTGGTCAACACAGATTGTAAGTATTTCTTAATGAAGTAAATACACCCAAAGGCCTGAGCATCGAGCACATGGTAAATACAAATATAATTTAGTTAAACTGCAATTAACCATACCGTAGTTATCAGAAATGTCCTGTTAAACTTGAGCAGAGCCATGTTCCTCACACCCAATGGTTGCTGTTCTTTCAAATAAAATGGGTGAATCTCAACCCATTGATACGTCCCACAGAATTTTGTTGTGAAGAGCTGCTGCTTGCTTACTGAAACTAAGAACCAGTGAAAGGAGCTGTTAAAGCTCTGACCTGGCAGGGTGGTGGGCTACCTTCCAAAATGACATCAGGCTACCTGGAAATACTGCAGCATCAAAATAATAAACAGATGTAAATGTAATAAACCAAAGTACCACCCAAAAGTGCAACTTAATATGCTACATAACAACTAATAATTCAAGCATTAAAATACATAAATTTATTACAGAATTACTTTTAGAAAAATAACATATTTGAAGGAGATATGTCTGAACTCATTGATGAACATGAAAGCTGTTAAAAATCTGTAGAAGTCTGTATGCTCCATATAGGGATACAAAAGTTCTCAAGCCTGTCTGTGGTTGCACAGAGAAACCCAAGAAGTCCACACACAAATGTAGAGGCTTAAGGTGTCTCTAAGCAGAAAAAAGGTAAGCTGGGCATAGTGCAGCTAAGGTAGAAGAAACGGAACAAGTATTTTTGAGCAGTGTAATGAACCTGCATTAGTTTTCATGTCTGTGCAAGTCTAAATGAGATTTATTTTTTAAATAACTCATGCAGAATCTGAGTGGGTTTAACATTTCTTTTGAGAGATACCTTTGGGATATGTCCTTCATCGAGGAAATATCGAACCAATTTGTCTTCTTTTCTTAAGTTAACCTCACAGGACGTTATCAAAAACATTTAGATCTTCTCCTTTTTGTACAGCAGTACAATTCCAAAACAACAAAATAGAGTTATATTCTTGTGACACTTCTACAAAGAGAAACTTCCACAAACATCCTGGCACAAGTTTCAGCCTCAGAGCACTTTTGCCTTTTGCACAAATTGTCAAGTTATTTAATTGCACAAGGCTGACAGTCTTTAGTTGCTTTGGGGGACACCAAAACAGAAAAGATTTTAGAGTTGGCCGAATTGGGTAACTCACAGCCTTAGAATGCAAAGCCTGGTATGAAGACTGCAAAGCTTAGTATGTAACACATTGAGGTGGTTAGAAAAACAAAGAATGCTCACTGCATGGATGGGCAAGAACTCTGACTTCATCCACAGCTATGTACCCTGGATGTCCTTTCACAGAGACAGATTCAAATATCACCTGAAATACAAAGAAAAGGTTTTCTTAAAAAGAAAGACTGCACTAGTCATTTGGCCAGTCACCACATTCCACTCTTTTTCCAATGTCTGATACATTCAAGGCATTTTATCATTGATAACAAAAGGGTACCTATGCAGTACAGCATGAAAACGAATATCAAAGACTGAAAATCATTTTGATACAGAAAACAAAGTCAGAGCAACATTAATTAGGATTAGTGAGAACTATGTACAACTTCCATTTGGAAGAGCAAAGATATAACCTATGCTTACACACACTCTGTATTCACTTTGCACCATTACGAGAACATCAGATGTGGAATCATTTGGCATCTTATTCCAGAAAGCTGTAGAATGCCACTTGTGAGATAATTTTATTTCATTATATCAATAACACTGCATGGATTCTTTTGGAGAAAACCTTTTGCATTTTCACATGCATGCCATTGCAGTACCAGAAAGCAATAAATGAGCAAGAGATGATGTGGATTCTAATGACTGGACTGAAATAATATTCTCCCAGAAATAACAAAGTTGCTTCTGCCTTTCCCTAGATTGAACCAGAAGAGAATTTTTGAGTATGTAAAAATGTAATATTTCTCTATGTTAATGGTACACTACTTCATCCAATTTTATTTATGTATTATTTAGGAAAGTGTTCCACTAATTTGAGACTGATTACACGTATGTGTAATTATTTCTGATCTGAAGTGTCCTGTTAGTACAATACAAAGACTACGTGCAAAGAGTTCGGTGCAAGCAAGGGGACCCTAGAACGCTGATAAAATTCAAACTAATTCAAACTAATTTAACTATTACCAAATAAGCAAAATAGAATTCAGGAGAAAAATAGTATTAAATATTGTGAAGTTTACTCAAACAACAATTATAAGAAGCAGGGAATTTGACAATGTTGAGTTGGAAAGGAAAAAAGTAAAACACAGACTGGTCATTTAACACTGAATATGGTAATGTCAGCTCTCGAGTGAGTGATGCTCGTCTCAAAGGAAAGGAATGAAGTGCTATCCTTAACTCTGTGTGCAGAAATGAAATGAATGCTGTCCCCAGCATTTGAAAGAGATGCCCCTTTGTTTTCTCTTACTAATGTGTCAGCCACACTCTAAACTGGGGCTTTGAGCAACCTGCTCTAGTGGGAGGTGTCCCTGCCTATAGCAGGGAGTTGGAACCAGGTGATCTTTAAGGTCTCTTCCAATCCATTCTATGATCCTATGGTTTTTGCATGAGTTTGCAGCCATGTTTTCCAGGACAGAGCTGATAAATGTGTTCAGCTGGCACATTTACTACTGTAGCAGCAGCATTCAAGTGCAGCCATTCTTTTTGCAGGATAATTTGTGACTACCAAAATCATTACTGGAACACCACGAAGTTTCTTAACTATCTCAAGCCACTCTTCAACACTGCTGTTTCCACTTTAAATAAAAGCTGGCATTCCTAGCCTGTCACTGTTGAGCCTTTCCTTCATCTCCTCCATCAGAAGATTTAACACAACAACAGATTCAACTTTCTGAATGCTGATCACCACATGCTCAGGCTACAGAAATAAAGCAACATGTACTTCATAATCAGGTTGCCATTAATCATTTTGCTTTGTATTTGGGCTTCCTAATTTAGTTTCTATTTATATTCCCATGACATCTTAAGATCTGCTCCCTCAGTTCAACGCATTCCAACTGGGAGCACTCCTGAAAAGAAGCCCTTTAGAAAAACGCCATGATAAAAACAGTTAGAATACAAAAATAAAAGGGGAAAAGACGAACTAAGAAAAGCTCAGGTGCTAGCAATACAAAGAAACTGAAACTGAAAGAAAAGAGCTCTGCAGCAGATGAAGGTGGGCAAAAAATAGGTTGTCCAAGGGATATGAGGAAGAAGCAAATATCTGGAAGATGATCAAACCATCAACAAATGTTTCCTGTGTTCAAGAGTTTCAGTACTTTCTAGAGACTGTATAAGCAAGAAATATAATGCATGTCCTTAGTATTGGAATTACAAGATAAATGAAAAGTCATTCATGATAAAAATGGCACTTACCGGTAAGGTCACACAGCAACAACTGTGACTCCCTTCAGATTAGGATTAAACTGCCCCTTTATAGCTACCAAACCTTACTTTGGTTACGCATTAGTGAGAAGTTATAAGCTTTGCTGAGTTGCTACATCAATTTCCTGAAAGCCAAGAACTTGGAAAGAAAAATTCCCCACTTCTTTGTGGTAGAAACACACACATAGTGAACTGTCTTCTGTTAATTACTGACATGGCTCAATGTCTTTAATAGAGCACAAAATAACCTAAACCTAGAGTCACTAGCAGCTGTGTCAGCTCCTATGGATTAAATCCATGGATTTCATATTCACACTGTCACCAAAATCACTGACAAGAGTGGAGGGGTCACTCTCAATTCTGTTTTGTTTGGACAGGGTATTTTATTAGCTGTTTCACTCTATACTCAGATCTCTTTATTTCCCAGTTCAGATCTTTACACTGTTACCCTTTTATGCAGTTTTGCACCACCTCAGCCCTGTCAAAGTGAGCAGAGCAGAAGCACCTGGATTTTCTAAATACAGGGAACTGAGATCCAGCAGTGAAGAACAGGCAGAAACCCATGCTTACAGGTGGCACATTTTGGCAAATCTCACATTGAATTTCTTTTACGTCCTTTTAACTTCAGTTGAAAATGTAATGAAATGGTTGAGGAACAGGCGTTCAATACTTTATGTTTTTGGAAGTTCTCAGAAATTAATGTAACTGGCAAATGCAAAGCTCTGCTCTTCAACATCCTTAAATGCTCCTGAGAACTGCAACTACCAAGTCACTTGTTGTTTCCTCACCTATAAACAAGCCCACATTTCACTGCTGCTATCTACCAGCAAGGTCTGTGTTAGCGATGTAGCCTGGCTCATCTGTTGCGGCACGACAGCTTTCCTCAGGCATAGATCAATACCATTTCTTGCTGTACATCAAAACATCCCTTCCTGGCAGACTGTAGTGCTGCTCTTGGTGCATTCTGGGACTAAGTCCATCCTTATGGCACGCAGTAACTCAAGAGAACACGTCTTACCTTTCTCCAAGAGCTATAACAGCTTTTACTCACTACGCTAAAAACGCACGCAGACTGGGAATCAAGGCACGACTAACTCATGGGCAGAGCTGAAACACCTCCACTGCCCTCACGTGAATACCTCAGCAGGGTGCTTCTGGATGTGGGTGACTCATACAACCCTTGTGCAGAAGTGCCAGACCCAAACCACGACCCTCTGGCAATAGGCCTGGCACTGGTTTGCCGCTACTCCCATCTCCAAAGCTCCAAGTACTTGTCAAAACCTCCCACCCAGGGCAAATGGCTTCAGACTTTTATGCCTGACAGAATTTTCAATGCACACAGCAATTCCTGATGGTGCGATTGTCGTGCATTAAGAGAATAATCCACATTTTGCCTGACACCGATTTCATTATTTAGGAGAAATACTTTTTTTTTGTTTTTTTTTCCTGCGTTACCTTGTGCTTTTGAAATACGGAACATGCTTTCAGGCCTCTTGGGCACAAATTGTTCTCCGAGCGTGCAGTTTTGATTTAAAGCTGACAAATAACACTCTTACAGCATAATCTAGACTGTGAGTGTAAAAGGAGACATTCCCTAGGCATCGGTACACACAAGCTTTTATCACCCTGCCACCTCTGGACTCCTTTAGCCACAAGGGTTACGACGTCAAAGAACAATAATTTTGATAAAACTCTGTGATTGTATCTCCTCCTCACTTTTGAGAGCTTAAAGTTTTCTTTCTTTTGTATTATTTCTTTTTCTTGTTTAGACTTAAACGTAGAGAGCCACCAGATTCCAGAAACTGATGTACAAAATTAGGGATCAGTGACAGAACAGCCTATCAGATCCCCCACAACCTGTGGGAAAGACCCTCACATTTTAAAAGCCATACGTTAGAAGAAGGAAACTGGAACCTCATCCATCAAAAAGGTAAGGCTGAGGAGATGGAGAGAAAAAGAGAGAGAGTGTTTGCATTTTGTGGGCAGGAACCACTCCCAAGCAGTCACTGCTGCCTGTAGGCTCTTCGTTTTTGCGCGGCAGTGCAAAATTCTTCTTTGATTTAAAGGATTTTCTTTCTCAGGAAAAGCAAACCTGACCTCTAAAAAGACTTGCAAAAGATGTAATAAAATTCAGGAAGTCTGGTATTGGTATATCTAACAGTTGGATCTCTTAGTTTGAGATCAGACTGTCTTTTCCAGGTTTTTCAAGCACTGATTACCTGGGTGAAAGATCATTTCTGTTATCTCTGTACAGCACCTACTACCAAGCAGATTCTGGTTGATGTCAATATGAAAGTAGTATTGATCACTTTAATATGATTTCAGAGCAAGTGACAAGTTGTGCACAGCCCTTAAAACACCACTTTCAGTGCATTTGTGTCTCTTCATCCCATTCACCCTGTACAGTGCGCTCTTATCTATTCTGCTGAAATCCTCTGCTCCTTTTCGGAGGCAGAACATTAAAGTGCTCTACTTTAGCCCAGATTCTATAGACCTACTACCCAGTTATTAAAAAAAAAAAAAGCTTTTCTTCCTACTGTTTTCTATCCACAGAGCATTCACTGCCTTTTCATAGTTTCTTTTACTGTAATTCCCATCTCACTCATGCTTTTTTTTTCCTTTAACTATAATATGTATTTCTCATTTTCCTGTAAGGAGTAGGGTGCAATTACCTCCCAGGCACATTTTTTTTTTTTTCCTTGAATATAAAAAGATAAAAATTTGAAAATAAGAGTCCTCATGTCTTCACCGTTTAAGAAGTATGTGAGCCCATTGTGTGCATGGGAAGTGCCAATCCAAGTCTGTTTATATGCATATTTCATGACATACAAACAGGTTCTAACTTTCCAATAAATTACTTCATCTGTCCAGCTTTTTCTCTGTGACCTGAGAACATCTGAAGAAAAAGGGTGAGAAGAATTACGTCAGGATGTCTCCATCATCTCTTGCTATAAAACTGCGACATGAAAACTCATTTTGATACAAAAAAAGATGTGATGAAAAACACTGTATTTAATTTTCAGCAGACTTAGTGCTAACAGCAGCTCACAGCTCACACCCAGCCAGATGTTCAGTGGAAAAAGTGAGATCAATCTTGCAAACTCATACCTGATAAAAATGTGGCCAGAACGTACTGATGGCAAGTTCTGCTTTCACCCATCCTTCTGTAACAACCCCTGAGACATTCCATATGGGATTGCCCTGTGGTCCTCCATTCACTTTCACGTAGACATTCAGAGAGCCAGGACTCGAGCGATCTCTGCTGGATAAGTAATAATGGAAGTCGATGCAGTGTGTGTCATTTTCCTTCAACGTGGGCAAAAGCAAGTGAGCTTTCTGCCCAGATGCCCGTCCAGAGCTGTTCACCATCATGAAGGAGCCTATACACAGACAAGGGAAGAAAGAAAGAATACAAAACATCCGCTGAGCTCTTTCAGTTAAAGCAGTTTCCTTGGAAAAGTCAGTGATTCCTTTAGAAGCCAGAAACAAAACAGTTCCTCCTAAGAACTCAAACTAGCTATTTTATGCTAGTTGTTAGGTAACAGAAAAGAAAGGAGATCTAAATTACAGGGTATAAATACAAATAGATTCATGGCCACTATAACACCTTAATTAGATAACTTTAAAAATAAAAATACGGCTTTGCTTTTATTGTTTTATAAAATTGCAATAAAAAAGTCACTCTATAAAAAATCACATTTACCCTTCAAGCAGCCATGAGGCTCTCCTACCACGTACAGCCCCAGATATCTACTTTCCCAAACGCACATTGAATACAAAGGACTATTTACAAAAGATCAGATTCTCAGCTGGCATTAGCCTGCATGGTCCCTACCAACTTTGTGCCAATCTATACCCAGGAACCCTGTATCTTGTGGTACAAGCTTTGGAAAGTGGCAAGGTGTTAAGAAAACCTGGTGTTCAGAACCTGGATGAATTAGGCTTGTTAGCACAACAACATCTCAACTAGCAATACAGCAACAAGGACAATTACACTTCTAAGAGGGAAGGACTGGCTGAATTTTAGGAGGAAAATCTATACTAAGGCAATTTCTGAGTTTGTTAACCCTGAAGCTTGCATCATATTAACCATGGCACTGGATGTTGAACTCGTGTTTTGATTCATCAAGCAGTTATTTTACAGCACATCGTGTCTCAACTCATCTCCTTACAGATGCATCAAGGTGACAAATGTTAGCAATAAGGAAAAACGTTATGAGAGTTATTTGATTCAATTCTGTTTAAGGGATCTGCTTTATGTGTGCACAGACGTTCACAGAAAAAGCTGAAGAAAATACCAAGATCCAGGGGGAAAAATCTATGTGTCAGCAGCAAGGCATAATAATTTTTAATCAAATGCAGCCCTCTTGACATTCAGAGTCCTGCTGCAGCTGCCAAGTCATGCTACAAATGTATTTCTCTACTGGCCTCTTGCAGTTCACAGAACATTGCGTTTGAAAAGCCTTGCCTCACTTCTAACCTATCGACTTCCCCAGTTCCATGCCATAGCAGTTTGACAGGCACTCAGATGAGCCAGGTAAACATTCTGATCAATTCTGTCCAGTGGACAGCCATACATTTTAGTTTTTAGTTTTAGTTTGTGTTTGTTTTTTGTGTTTTTGTTTTTTTTTTTTTTAAGTCAACAGATACCAGCAACTTTCTCACGACTGCTTTTGGTGGGTTGTTCTTTTTGTTGTTTTTGATTTTGTTTTTCTGTTTATGTGATATATATACATACATTTTGTAAAGGACTTCAAGGCATGGATGCAGAAGAAAGTGGATATTTCATAAGAAATCACACACACTCCAGAAACCTTGGAAAAGTCAAGCACAGTGCAAGCAGAGCTGGGGAAGAAGATTTACAAGAAGAAATGCTACAGTCAAGGTGCTCTCTGGCAATCCAATCTTTCATTTGGATAGCTTGAAAATCCCAATGGCCCCAGATTCACCGCAAAGAGCTCAAGAAACAGAAGAGCTGAGTCCAAACTTTTAATTTTTTCTCTAATAATCAAAGTCCATAAGGTGAGACAAATATTCTCTGTTGATACACTCCTGCTCTCAGTCAACCACAAAATCCCCTTCGTCAAATGAGAGATTTCAATGAGTGCTGCAGTAATCTTCTAAATAAACTAACCCTAAATAAACTAACATTGTGACAATCTGAGATTTGGGCTCAGACTTGATGACCTGGGATAATTTATTACCAGGAAGCAGAGTTACCAACAGGTTTGGCAAGGCAGCACAGCTGCTGGTTAAGGCAGCAAGGTGGAAATCCAACGGGCTGGTTTCTAAGTCTGACAACACATTCAATTCTATGACCTCTGTCTGTATGTGTAGACTGCTTTATCTTCCCGTATAAATCAAATAAGAACACTAGTAAAATCTACTACTAAGAATCAGAGACAGAAGCCACTGTATAACTGCTGAATAACAGAAGGGTTTTGTTGTTGTTGTTTTAGCTGCTGCAAAATGCACCGCCTGCAGTGTTTCAGAGACATTTTGGGAAACAGTACAAAATCTGATGAAGGCAATTTTGCCAGATGTGAGATACAGGGGTGATGGTACAGCCAAAGAAAACATTCAGTAAAGAAAAGTAGAGATCATTCATTTCTGTTCCATTTTTTATCAGCTCTTAGCACACATCATTCCACTTCTGCGTGCCTTCCTCAACCTTTCACACTTCTGTATTTGGATAATAGATGGATCCCTGCCCTAAAGATCGACTCTGAAGCTGCACAATGCCTAACACAATTAGGTCCTGAACTGCAGTACATTAGGCAAGCTTTCAATGATAGATAGACTTAAGGAGGATTTCACTTCTCCAGATTCATGTATAAAAATAATGAGCATTCCTCTGGGAGAAAAACATCAACTTTTATAAAAAAAGTTCAAAGCAATAATTACGATTTTATTTTTTGACACCCACAAAAAAATGAATCATATGCTATTTGCAGAACGACAATGGCCTTTTGTGCAACTGCTAGAGAGAGTACAGAGCCTGTACATAATGACTGACACAACGTGAGCCAGTAAAATATCCATCGACCAAAAAACACTTAGCAAAATAATTAGCCTTCATAACTGGAAGAATAGCCTTACAAAAAATTTATTGCCATTTGCAAATTATTCACTGTCTTAGTTCTGATTTATGGATGCCTTAAAACCACATAGCCACACCCCACATCATGCCTAGAGAAAATGCTGTAAAATTCAAACTGTCTCCAGTAAAGTCCTGAGGAGAGGTATTGCTTTACATGATAGTAGGAGTAGAGATAAAAAAAATTCCACTTCTAGTGCTGCCTCTGCTGCAGAAAAGTGCTCCTATCCTTGACTGTGCCATCTGATATCTCTGTCTGCCCTTACTTCCACAGAGACCTCAGATGGCAGCTGCCACAAAAAGCCCTTTTCGTCCCGGGTCAAGCTGGTGCACAGCACACCAAGCCTGCCCTTAGGAGGGGATATTGTTAAACTAAAGCTTCACCCATGCCATAACTGATAGTGGGTACAAGAACATCTATCTCACAAAATCTCATTGTTGTGAATCATTTATACCCTGTACCACACACTGCCCTCCATGATTCTCATTTTCCTTTTTGCACTGTGAACTTGAATGCAAATCCCATCCCCTACCCTCAAGAACCTTCCAAAGGTTGCTCTGTGTGCTCCTGGACCAACAGCTGGGATGCACTGACTCTGTGTCTGTGCCAGTGAAGCTTTTCTGGGCAGTACACATTGCTTACCAGTAGCTCTGAGATCACTACAACTGCTCCCAGCAGCAATAAATAAATAAATACATAAAGTTCAAAGCAGCCTTTTAAGGACAGGCGTATTTTGCCTTATTAGCTGTAATAAAAACTGACACATCGCGATTCAGAGTCTGACAGCCTTCTTTAGCATGAGCAAAGAATTGAAGCTGATGGGACTTCTTTTGAATTTATAGGCCTGTACGTGCAAATAAAAGAGGTACAATCAGGTCTGGCACCAGCAAACCATTTGTCACATTTCTCACTCATATAAAGCCCTAGGGAACGCATTAACATGTCACAAACGGAAATTATTGATCAATGAACGACTGAAAACCTTAAATTTCCCCTGGCATGAATTTGTACAAAACAAAAGATTCCTTGAAGAAACTCTGATTTAGACTGACTTTGAACAGTAATGACAGTAGAAAAAACACTGAGTGCTATTTTGTTTACCTCCATCTGGAAAGTTCAAATGCCATCAGATAGACACTGAAATGGGAAAAGAAAGTTTGGAGAGAAGAAGTGATGTATTCTGTGTGGATGTTGTTGGGTATTTCTATTTTTGTTGGACACAGAAGTATATGCTCATTAATGCAGCTGAATATCAGGTCAATTAACTTTAGTGCTCTTGAACCAACAGGTTACATTAATTAATCTCTTGCTGGCTTTGCCACCTTCCTGAATAACTAAAACTGAATGTGCTGTGTTCAGATCAGTCAAAAGCACGGAGAAAAGAAAGATGGTAAATAAATTCATTTTTAAAAATCCATTCGAATGACAGTGAACATAAAAAGGCACTCTCTTACAGTTATTAAACATACCACTGAAAATTGGGGAATTAAACCATGAAGTGCTCTCTAGCTGGCCATAAATTCCAATTTTTCCCCTGCTCGGTGCATAATGATGCCTTGATAAGCTTCCTATTATTGATGCATCTGCAACATATACCCTCTTTTTGAACTGAAATGCTGCTCTGTAGCAGATGGTGGCTATTGTGTTTACACATCAGCACTTTATGATTGCATTTTCTCACGTCTGTAGTAAAAAGAAAGCCGTAATTGAGTTTTTAATGGCTTTGCACATTGTTCATTAAGATTACATGAGTGTGTTCTGACAAATGACAGCTGAAGAAACGAGCCACCGAGAACCCCTCACGATCACCAGACAGACCTCAGCTGATGCTCTTTCACTGCTGCCTTTGAAGAGCTGAGCTGTTTAAAAGTAAAATTACAGCAACCATTAAAGACTGAATGTAAACTTGAAAAGAAAACTGTCAAAATGCTCAACTGCAAAAAGAGCCTTCTTAAACCCTGAGAACCCAAATCAAGTACAGAACTTTTTTTTACACAGCAAACTCCTCCTCTCAGTACATCAATCTGCTTTCCAGCAGCTCCATCACAGCAGAGGCATTTTTTTTCAGTCACAATGCTGCTAGTTTCCAAAGAACAACTCTACCCTCAAAAAGGAAGGGCCGGACATCTGATCCTGTTAGCATAGAATGAAGCAAGCTGGAATAATTTCAGTTGGAAGGGGCCTTAGATCATACCTATTCCAATTCCGTGCTCAGAGCAGGGTCATCTCTTTTCCCCACTGACTCTAAATCCTCCCAGATGGTCCAGTCCCTCTGGGTAACC